CTCACCGTCGTGATTAATCCCAGTTTCACAGAAATAGCGTTTTCCTTTGTAGCAATCATCATTGTCCCATCTATAACCGCTTCCTTTCCTGTAAAAAAAATGTACGATATTGTGACCGTTTTAGTTGTGTTTGTCACCGGTAGGCAGGTCTATTTCGAGCACATGTCTCAGTAAAATAAAGCGGGTTTGTTCTTACCACAATTGGACACACCGTTGAGCGGCCCATGGGGAGTTATCGTTAGGTTGACCGGGTGCCCAATTCTGATACCCAGTTAAGTCAGATCCATCCGCGACCCAGTCGTAGTAGGCCGGGTTGGCAGCGTTGCCTACAGAGTCACGAAGGCCTATCCATATATCGCCGAGGGTGGGGTGATTCATTTGTAGGTATTGTAGAATACAGTTCGCGGCCTCGGCATCCCGGATTTTGAATAACTTTAAACCGCTGTTTTCACATCCTTGTACTGCACCATCCCAATTGGAACCAGAGGGCGCTAATTCATACGTCACACATCTTATTGTAAGTATCGGGAAATCTGAAATAAATCGCATTTTCTCTATAATCTTAGTCCACTGCTCCCAGTACCTGACATGAAAGTTTCTATGACGATTTGATCTCACAAACTAATATGAGCATACAATATGTGTCTGTCCTTAAGCTTCCAGACCACACTTTTAAAACTATGTACGTTTGCATAAGTATTCTTTTTTTCTATATTATCAACTATGCATGGAACCCCCAGAGTTGTAGATATGTTGTTCTTTTTATGGAGTAAATTAAATATACACATCAAGAAGAAGTGTTCAAAAATAAATTACATAATTTACATGATTTGTCGAAGTTTAAATTAGTATTTTTTTCTACGATATTGACAACAACTGTTAATTTGTTGTTTTTGTATTTAAAAATATATTTTTATTGAGTGTAAAATGTGAAAAAAACCTGTATTTAAAGCGCTACAAACAATGTATTTTACACGCGTCGTATACGTCGCTATGAGTCCCATATCGAACAGGACGCGGCGCTTCAAATCTTTAGCTTTGAGTGAGATTGGCATACATAGACAAATTATTAATCAGCTCAAAAAAATATACCACTACTGGCAAGGTAGAACGCTGCGATAAAGACTCCCAATTTTCGATATTGTGAAATCCTTTCGTTTTTATGAAGTATTTTTACCAAGTAAAACCCTTATTAAAGTTATTGTTCATACATGAGTTTTTGAACACACTATATAGATTGCAATTTCATTCAGCTTCTTTCAGTCATAATTCAAGACAAATAAAATGCAATATTCTCGTGTAATCGGTAATTATGAAAATTATTTATAGTGCACAGGGAATTCCTGATATATATTTCTGAATTATCTTGTCAAAATCATATTTTTTCGAGGTTTTCCCTCACCAAAAAAACGAAAGAATTTCACAATGTCGAAAACGAAAAGTCTTTGTCGTAGTGTTGAAGTTGTTACAGGTTTTCTTCAGTGTATTACTCATAGTTGTAATAGTGTACTTCAACAGTTCACATAATCACGTGAGATAAATAACGTGCAATTCAAAAATACAATTACATTTATGTATATACGCATTGATTGAATTACATACTTTGTGTCTTGCATATCAAGTCGCATGCCATTTCGTCCAATTTCAGGTCATAGCCAGTGTTACACGAGCAATAACGTCCAGTGCCGTCATATGTTGGATGACAATTATGATCGCATCCACCATTATTAATGTCACACGACGGAGGGAGCACTGTGATAGGAGAAACAGTTAAAAGACGTATGTTAGTTTTGTAGTGAGCATCGTTAAACTCGAAAGTAGATAATTACTAGTATATACGACGCGCAAAACTTTCCTACCTACGTATAAAAAAGCAATAGGTCACACAACAGGTCAAAGACATCGAATAGTTTCACTTATTACATCACGCACTTATTTGTCACCTGACTCACAGTTCTCTGGGCCGGCGGCGGACGAGGCTAGATGTGGCACAGTTTTTAGCCGATTTTCGAATTTGATCGGGTAAACGACATTTTCTAGACATTCGTACTATGATATAACATTTGGTGTCTTTAAATTGGGGTCGTCTTTGTTGTACTTTAATAGTACAATGTTCAATTATTCAATCTTAAAATTATTTTTTGAAATCACGCGTGCCACCATAGTTACTCTTCATAAAAATTTGCTAAAAAAACATGACTCAAATCGCTGATTTTTTCATTTAATCATTACATGATATGGCTTTTATGACATGAGATTTAACGGAAGAACATCGACGCCATGGACCACCATTGTCTTGCGTTGTTGTTGTAAGAGAGTTCCATGTAAATTTAAAATCAACAAGTCATTGTGAATTACATAGTAACTGTTTACTTTCAGACTTTTAGTGACTGTGTCAATCAGCCGAGGCATGCCCGAGGAACATGCGGGACACAAGTGGGCGACAATTATGGCCATCTGTCGGCCAAATTTCACCAAAAGGCAAAACAAATTGACGTGCTTTAGTATACGAATATATTTTGTCTTTGTACCCACTTTTATTAATTGAATATAAAATGATCAAAAGAAATATATCTTGTAACAGTATTGCATTAGTGCCGTAAATAATTAGTGTGAATTGATATAATGTGCACATGAAATGCATGTCAGGAATGCGGCTACTATACGCATTGTATCAAACAGTATGGCGACCAGTTAGATGATAATGAATTGAATCCAATCAGGAAAAACAAATTACACACTACAGTGAACATCGATGACGTTCATTGTATGGACCAAATTGGAATTAAATCAGTTAATATTGTGTGATATATATGTGAAGTTTAAACTTGATTTGTCCAGATATGTCGGTGACGTGGATCGGACACTGCAATCTTTAAAACATAAAGGCCGCCTATTTAGCTTGATATGAAAAATAAAATGACGTGCATGAATGTCCCATTGTGTTTAATGTGTTTACCTTATTTAACCTAAATCCGTTCATACATGACTGAGATTTGGTTCGGGAATTTTGAAAATGTTTGATTTTATTGTATTTCTGGCCTTAAAATGGTTGCCATTCGGCCATCTTGAAACAAATGCATGAAGATAAGACAAATGTATGTGTGAAGTTTTAGCTTGATTGGTCCAAGCATGTGTGAGATATTGCTGAAAAAGGACGGACAAACACACGGACGCACGGATGTCAACCCATAAGTATACATTTCCGCCCGACAGAGAACTATCCACACATGCTATGCCATTACTCGTGATCATCTATATAGTACTGGTGTACAGAATTTCCACTTAATCGAACGATACATGATTAGTGAGGAAACGCATAGAAATGACTGAAAACAAAATGGCCACCGTGACTAATCGGTATTTTGTTACAATATTTAAAAATATGATGCGCACCTGTAACCATCATAAAAAGTGTGAATGAAATAATCCCAGTTCCATTTTAACAATGACAAATTATTAAATTTGATGACATAGTCCGGTGTCAGTCAGCCATATTTGACCAGATGACAAAGATAATGTGAGCGTATGATATGAGTCACCATACATTGTCCTTATATGAAGTTTGAATGGTCGTGCAATACGTTTGTTTACAACACAATTTTAAATAGCTGCATTGCTCATATGTTTATAAAATATGTATGCACTTTGCTTCAGAATCATCCGAAAGAAACGAGAATTCCGTAAAAAATACGTGTTCTCATGGTCCTCTTTTTTTAGCTTCATGGTAACATTAACGCGGATATATAATTGGTTCGAGTCCTTGTTTCATCGTCCGAATCGCACGGTCCCGTGTCTTCGACCTATATGCCTCTAGAAGATACTGCGCGCGATCGCATAGGCTAATTGCGTATCTTAAGTAGTGAGATATGATTGGGCGCGCCTCGAAACAAGGAGCCCAATCAGCTTGGACGTGCTAAATTATGAAACAAAATTCCACTCCCTGTTTTTGTCGCCATGAAGACATCCTTCCCACACAAAACTGCGTCGATTGCCTGTACCCGATGAGGCTTGAAGGCACCAACACCAACAACTTCGCAATTTTATCATCACAAATATCACGATTCATGGGCGCCGCCATTTTGTTTAAAATGAAACGCCAAAGAGGGATTTGCAACACGCAAACTGATTGGACAATGATTAGCCTCAATTGACTTGGGGCACTGTTAGAATACGCATATTTGATGGTCGTTTTGCCAAAATCTGTTTACAGGCTTGGCCGAATAAATTTAGACCTTGGCTAACGAAGATGCCTTGTTTGGGCTGAATTATTAATGAGCTGACAAGAGCCAGATAAAACAAAATCACACAGGGTAACACTTGGATTTTGTAAGTCAACGCAAACAACATATCGTCTGCATCTGAAGGTTCTATCAACACATAAACCCGCATGAATAATTCAAATGTATTCACTTGTATATAACATTGCGTGCCTTCTAAGGGATTCTGATTGGCTGACATTCACACTACAAAGGTCGTACACATTAAGATTTGTGGAATGCGAAAACACATTAAAGTATATTGTAGTAACATAGTAATATTACACTGATAACACCATCATGATAAATTTAGATAGTGTATTGGAGATTGGCACATACCTGTTTGACAGATGTCCCCTGTGTATCCTTCTGGACACGTACAAGTGTAGTCGTTGATTCCATCTTCACATACACCACCATTGAGACACGGATTAGGATCACAGTCGTCAATATCTAACAATAAAATAAAAATATTTACTGGTGTGTAAATGTTTCAACAATCCATTCCTTCTCAGGCGGCAAAGATTATGTTGACACAACAAAAATGTGAGAGGAGGTGTTGAGACTATGTCTTTCCCCTCTTCTTCATAATTTTCGATGTGCATATACGTATACCTGAAGGGGTAAATGTACTTGAAATTGTCTGTTATCATATAATGGCTTTGTTATAAACGAATATTTTGAAAGTGGGACAGTTTACGCGGAAACCCATTTTCACGGTAAAAAGGTCTCGTATCTCAAAATTTCGTTCGGTTACATATAGTGAGCAAATCACTTAAAATTTCTTATGAATGAGTCTACCGAGCGCCCTCGCATGACTACTCCCAGAAATCTCGTTCTGCAACTGCGAGGGCGCCGGACCTATATATTATTCATTCGGGGCCCAAGTTATGAACAGCAGCTTAAAATAAAATCACATTGTAAACTTCATTCAATGAGTATCTATCTTGATAGTAACCAACTACTTTAAGATACAGCAGAGGCATAATGATCATAAACTTTGCTTTCAATTTAGATAGTAATATTGGAGATTGGCACATACTTGTTTGACAGATGTCCCCTGTGTATCCTTCTGGACACGTGCAAGTATAGATGTTTATTCCATCTTCACATACACCACTATTGAGACACGGATTGGGATCACAGTCGTCAATATCTAACAATAAAATACAAATATTTACTGATGTGTAAATGTTTCAACAATCCATTTCTTCTCAGACGGCAAAGATTATATTGACACAACAAAAAAAGCGAGAAGGTGTTGAGACTGTGTCTTTCAGGAAATATTATTGTGAATAGTCGCAATCAAAATATCGACCACACCCCTAAAAACAATTTTGGTAAAATATAAAGTGGACGCGCACACGCTAGTCAAAATCGAACTCATTCAGGTCACATTAAAGAGTACTATTATAAAATAAATTCTATTAATTTACCGATTTACCGATTTGACTACTATTGTGTGGGGGCCATCTTCTTGAATACTAGTATGACCCGATTCCATCTTTTATAGATTCGAGTCGTATTCAAGATGGCGGCCCTATATAGTGAATATCGGTAAATAAAATGCATTTGATTTATTATCCATGTTTAAAACGTAAAGACTTATACGTACGTAATGAAATATCAGTATTTTAGTTCGTCATGCAATCGTCATGGTTCGAGAGAATGAAACATAGCGAGGGTCAAAAAACAAGATTTGCTGTGACGTAAAGCATTACGTTTATTACGGTACACATTTACTCTGTGTGTGTGTGGGGGGGGGGTATCTTCGTTCAACGTAATTGCAATATTTTTTTGTTCGTACAACCTAAATTGAAAAAAATAAATTCCGTAATTCTGTAATCACAGGCTAGACGTACAACGTAATCAATCAAATATTTTTTTCGTACACTGTAAAAATGTGTCATTTTTCTCGGTACGTTACAAGAATATACATCCAAATAAAAAAGTCGTGAAGAATAATCCAGGGAAATTACATTTTCGAAACTGTAAAACGACTAGATGACACAATTCACTGCAAAATTCAATTTTCACTGTAAACTGTAAAAACGTCTTTTTTTCTTTGTAAATAAATTGTAAAAAGCTCTTTTTATTTCCCGTAAAACTGTACCAGCTACCCCCTTGCCCCCCTTCTTCTGTGATACTTGATTTACTTTCTATGTAAATGTTACTACTCTCTACTACGAGTTTACAATTATTTATCAAGTCTTGTAGTCGGTCATTTACGACTAAAGTTTAAGTCCCACAATTATTGCGTCACTAATAGCACAATACCACGACTCTTGCAATTACCTGTCTCGCACCGAATACCCTCGTACCCACTGACACATGCGCAGGTAAAACTCTGCGAATTGCCGGTACATGTACCGCCGTTAAGACACTCGTTACATATCTCTGGCACTACAGTCGTGTTGGGTTTTGTTGTAGTTGATATACGAATGCGACTTCCTGTGAAGAAAACAGAGTACGTTATAATTACATACTTATTTTTTAATTTAAAGCGGGAGGGTCGTCAACTGCGCACGCGCAGGAATTGAGTCTCAAGTGATGATAACAACACACGCTAAGAACGCAAAGGCTCATGGGTAGACGCTTGTTTGTAAACAATGGCACACTATGGCCACCTGACTATATATAGGTAGTTAAAAATATTCGTGTATTTTGGCAGTAGCGCATTCAATCTTCAATCAAATATTTAAGAATTTAATGTGATCAAACACAACTGTGGATTGCTATTCACCGTAAATAAAACATAAAACTGTGAATTAATAGTACGTACCAGCAATTAAATACGTAAGCACTTCAAATTGAAAGTACATACCATGAGTAAATATTATGCATGTACTTTGAATTGATACAACGTACCGTAATTAATAATTGGCCTAACCTCTTTAAATAAAGTGTTAACTAAATAAATAAATTCATCACACACGTACTCGGAATTAATAGTATGTAGCAGAATTCAATGCGCATTCATTGTGAATTAATAGTACGTACCAGTAATTTAATACGTAAGCACTTCAAATTGAAAGTACGTACCATGAGTAAATAATATGCATGTACTTTGAATTGATACAACATACCATACATAATTCAATACACATGCACTCTGAATTAATAGTACGTACCAGTAAATCAATACGTAAGCACTTCAAATTGAAAGTATGTACCATGAAAAAATAGTATGCAAGTAATTTGAATTGATACAACGTACCAGAATTCAATACACATGCACTCTGAATTAATAGTACGTACCAGAATTCAATGCGCATTCATTGTGAATTAATAGTACGTACCATTAATTCAATACGTGAACACTTCAAATCGAAAGTACATACCATGAGTAAATAATATACATGTACTTTGAATTGATACAACGTACTAGAATTCAATACACATTTCACTGTGAAATATTAGTACGTACCAATAATTCAATACGCATGTACTCTGAATTCATGTACGTTCCAGCATAGATCTTAGACAACTTGAACATGCAACTAATGTTTAATACATTGAAATGAATAAAATCCAACTCCCTGTGTGAAATCCCTCCCATCAGCGGTAACACAATGGCACAATTAAAACAGTAGAGAGAATAATGGCATAGTAAATAATAGCATGGACAATAATAGTGCAGTAGAAATACCCTGGGCGGTAAAAATAGCTACCTCAGCTGTCTTGTGGCAAGACATGATCAAATAAAAGTAAAGAATGTGTTTCTTTTAGCAATCATTGTGTAGTAGGAAATATCTGTATATTTGTAAACACGTTTAACATACTTTTTTCAAGGCTACAGAAACAGGCCCGATCTCCGATTTCGAGTGCCGAAACCTATCTCTGGAGTGTATCTAAATTCCCACTTTGTTTTGTTTTACATTTTGTTATTATTCATAAACAAAAAAAAACAGAACCTAAGGAAATAAATACAGAAATAAACAGCGTAAATTTTGTAAGCGCAATTAAAACTGTCTTCAGATGCATCGACAGGATTAACTGCATCCGGGAACTTTAAACCAAGCGACACAAATGAAGTTGAATATCGTTTTCTTCAGCATGTACGAGTCGAATGTCGCTGTTAATAAAGACTGTATTCAAACCAAACAGACACCCAAGCAGGCATAAACAGTAATAACTAATAACTATAAAGTGTATTTCCGAGATGAAATATTGCTATATCTTGGATGCACCAAACAAACACGAAATCATCCACAGTTGCGCAGTTTGTGTACTGTGTACAAATATGCACTTAGTAGTTTTACCAAGTACCTGAAGTATTATATGACTCCGCGACTTGCGTCCGGGTAACAACGGAATTTACCACTCGGCTCCGTAAACGTCATTTATCTCGCAGCAAATTCCTTGTGCTGAAACCGTAAATCTTTTTATTTATGGAGCACAACGATAGAGCTCTGTGGTCAAAGTTTCATTCAAAACATACCTGCGCATCAGATTCATCAGAACGTGGTTGTCTTCCACATTGCACCAGCAAACACATCAGACGGCAGTGCCGGTTGCACCGGGGAAGGGGGTTATCGCGTCCCCCCGGAAAAAATGCGCGACCACTTGCGCCTATGGAATGGTGGGCAGACCCCCTCCCCCTCCCCATGCAAAATTTAGTGCCGCCGCCTCTGGACGGCACTATCAGGTCTTACCTATTTGCTTATAAGCTGACGCTTCTGTTTCCTCGCTAGCAGTTGTACCAATAGCTCCTCCCAACGTCCCTAAAGCTGCTGTCACCGCCAATGATGACATCACCATGGCAACAACTTTTACTTTGCTAGTCCCCGCACTCACTGGAGGCTGTTGAAATTCAATGTATGCACGGTTATATATACATTTCCTATTTTATTTTGGTTTACTTAGTTAACGTTACGATTCAATGTGGATAATTGCCGCGTCGGTTAGGCATTTAAACAAATTGCAGGACAATATAGTACTACAACTTTTAAAATATTTTATGTCACGTCAAAGATTGGAGTTGATTGATGCTCTGAGCTGGATTTTGCCATTTATTGGCATGATGTGATGATCGTTGCTAGGGATATTCGACATTCCACCATGTTGTTCTTAAAATACCGGCGCTCGCAGTTGCCAAGTGCGCGGGAATTAATAAATGGTGCGATATAACCCTTCTGTATATTTACCATGTGTGTTGAATTGTTTTTATTTATAGCCCCAAATTCCCCTGTACTTCAAAATCCACCCACTTTTCCATTGCGGACATAACATCGTAACGCTGAGCCCAGCGTTGGCCATTTGTTTGTTGGCGATTCAATTTTGTGTCTACCTGTATGCATTTTTTGCGTATGCCGTCTTTGCGTATTCCTCTGTAATTTGTTTTAGCTGGGCCGATTTCGTTCAAACTTGGCAGGCATGTCACACCTTCACCTCAGTTGGGTGGTGAAATCTGAAAAAAAAACCATTGCCATGGCAACAGCCAAAACAAATGATTTTTGATATCTTTTTTCATTGCCGAGAAATTTGGCTCTGAATTTGGTGTAATTTATTGTCAGGAACGTTTTTTTTTTTAACTTTTCTGTGATTTGGGGGACTGGGCCAATATTGGTCTAACTTAACAAGTTTGAAAAAATAGTTCCGTCCTACTCTTGCCATGACAACAGCTAAGAACTTAAGGCAAATGATGATGCGCATTTTTTTTCATTTCTTTCCAAATTTCCGTGTGGCAATAAAATACAGTTAGAGACCGGGAATCTCAATTAAAGTAATCCGGGAATAGACTGCAATAAATATATTTACAAACATATATTACGTTGTTAGTAAATAAATATAAACTTACTTCGTATTTCCATATTGCTGAATTCTATCTAAATCCACGATCGACTGTTGTCAATTCCGTTGAAATATTTCTTTCAAGTTCTCTTTATATCTCAGAAAACTAAAATAATTCTATCGGTTGTTTTCTATTATATTTAGATTATTTTATAAACATCTCCCGGGATAATTTCAAGAAAGCTATTTGAAGACCCGGTGAACGAACTTGAAACTATTAGACCACAAAACACATGACGGCAGTGACAGGAACATTTCATGGGGTAGAATATCAATGTAGTGTAATAGACGCGGCCCGTCAATAATACTAGTATTACAAGGTTATAGGGCGGTAGTCGTCGCGCTGCGCATGTGCGACATTTTTGTTGATAAACATTGATTTTCTCATAATCCAATGCGCTCTTCTAATCATTGAAATCACATGTATGAGGTTTGACCTGGGTGCGACTTGCACTAATTACCGCCGGTGACTTCGATACCTTCCAATCACCTAACAATACCTAATTAAAGCTTGGTAACGCCTCAGTTTGTACTCGTTGATCTGCGCAACAGTCAAAGTCGCCATCTTTGTTTATATGCGCCCTACATATCTCGCCATGCATGTCTATGACGTTGACGCGGAATATTGTGACGTCCACCCGGAATATTGTGACGTTTACCGTGCCGTATCCGCAGTGATCACGATATTCATATATTTGCCTTGGTCACCAGTATGATAAATATATATATTTCATAGATACCGGCGACCATTTGCGTCTGAGGTCAGCTGCTTTACAAGGTAACGAACTCACGTGCCATGCCATGCGGGAGAACGCGCTGAGAAATAACTGATGTTATTATACATCAAGTTCAAGGTGTTATAGACGCGTTTGAATGCTTTCCTTATTTGAAAATGTACGGTAACTTTTACGTCACATTCGAACCGGCAATCTCCCAGGCAGAGTTCTATTTCTACGAATATATCTCTGCCACCACGCGATCTTATGCTGGTTGCTGATTGGTCGATGCTTGTATGTAGATTCTGGCTGTTTTCGGAGTGAGAGACTCATTTTTTTATTTTCCGTAACACAAACGGTGTGATAGTAGGACGGTTTACCTGCCAATACCGCTAAGTGATTTCATTTCTTTATATGTCTTCGATTGGCAATCGACAGGACGGTCAGTTTGATGAACCGAGTAACACCTTAGTAACCGTTATACCGCGATGAAATTATTTTCTTTTGTAAATTATAACTATTTCACCCTTGACAGTGCATTTACAGAAAAAAAAAATTATCAGCTATCATAAAATATTTTAAAACTTGTTTTTCAGTAGGAATAAATCAGCACGAGAGCCCTCTAATAACAAAAATACGCGAATAATACGCGTAGTAAAAGTCTTGTGGTGTTTCACCACAAAATGGCGGTGTGTGATGGCAGAGATACTTTCGGTGATCTAACCGCAAGGAACTCTGGGAAGGAGAATAATTAGATCAGATGCTATAGCGCGTGACGGAAATTCCGTCACTTAACGCAAACATACGCAACAGCGCAAGACGTTTTTCGTTTTAATTTTGGGTTGTTCTTTCTCATTTAATGACTTCTACAATCAGAAAAAGAATGTAAAATAATTATATAATCACGAGGATACCGTAAATTATCCACTACGACAGTACGGCAACGCATGGAACTCCGCAACGCGTCGGTCTACATGATCGCCGTAACTTTCTTCGTTCACATTTTGCTGTATTCTCGTAATAACTTCATATTATAGAGACCTATAAATCAAAGTCGCGAGGCAGCGCGTTCGAATTTCAGGTTAACAAATAATATGAGGTTATTACGTGGATACCTCAAAGTATGTGCACGAAGACAGTACAGCTGGACAGCGCGTCGATCGATGTGACGGCGTACTGTCTGGTGGCAGCCATGTTTGTTTTTATTATTAGAGGACGCTTACGCGCGTAATCAACCCGTATTTGGAATTCGCATTTCCTTATATGGTAGGATGAAAATACCCCGTAAAATAACGCACAATTACGGCAAAATTACATATCGAAACTTATGAATATATATCCGTTGTTATAAGCACATACAGAGACTGCTTTAAATAAAGATCATTAAACCGAAATAGTCAAAGAAATTTACTACAGATTTTCTGTTTCCACTATTAAGAAATTCATTTGTTTTCATGCATACAAATCTGTATTTTTTCCCAGGTGAAATCATTTACTAAAAACACTTGCTACATAGTTCTATATTGATATCATCATCCTAGAATTTGGGAAATTTATCTTCCTCTGATCGAGATTGTAATGTAGCAATTAATAAGAAACCACTAAAAGCAGACGAATCAGAAAAAGTTGCTTGGTGTTATTCGAGTTGTGAACATAAATCTCCGTTGGAAGGACCACATTAAGAAAATTTGTAGGAAAGTTTGCGCTAAACTTGCACATTTTTGACGTAATTAATATTTACCAATTTCTACCAGAATACGTTACATATTACAACTAACATATTACCTAACTATAACATTATTAGGTAATATTAAATAGCATAATTAAACAAATCTGATTTTGATTTAAGGTGAGACAGGACATTTAAACTCTTTACCTCAGATGAAACCGGAGTTACCTCGCTGCTTGGGCGTATGCGGTTCATGGTTCCCGTGCAAAACTCAGTTTAGCTCTGTGAGTAATCAACACTGTCGATGACACCGCTGTGACTGCAACTGTTATATAGGGATTATTTTGACGTACCAGTGCATTATCTGCAATTGCTTAAAGCCTAAAAGTATTAAAAGTAGTTGTGTGAACTGGCGGAGAAAATAAAATTACTAAGAAGTCATAATCCAACCTCAGAGCATGAATTACTAATATGTAAAAACAGAGCATGGAGGCAAGTATTCGAAGTGGTATTGTATCAACATATTGTATTCGTTTATCCCCGAAACGTCGACTAATTTCACAGCTCACGCTCATTGCCCGCGGAGAATTGGATTTGTTTACTGACAACGGGCTAACAAAGTTCAATTTGAAATAACTTTTTTTTTAATTGTACATCAGGTACTGATATAGGATACAAGCCTTCAAGTTATCGCACGTTGTGTATCTTTTTCAAAAGATAGCGGTACGTATAGCTTTCAATGCCGCATCACACTCCTCAGTTAATACAACAAACATGAGTGCAATTATATAACTTGGTATTTAGAATCAATAGAATCATATATCTTTGTAATCCGTCACTAAAATAACCGAAACCGCTAAATATATTACCATGAACCACAGTCTCTTTATCACAGAAGGACTGTGCATAAACAAAACAAAATCATTCACTGTTGAACATTCGATCAATGCACCCACCCCAATTTGCTCATCCGCTGAATTCCGCCAAATAACACAAAATGTTACAAACGTACAGAAAATGTGATATGTTCAAGGATAGGTGACAGCAGAAAAAGTCGCCCAAAGCAGAGATTTACTTACCGCGTAGGCCATTTACACAGTGCTATTATTTCTTGTGCCATTTTTTTTTACCTGTACTATTTTTACAGCGCGCCAGGTTCGGCTACAACATGAACGAAATGTCCATTTTAATAACCTCAGAAACCTAAACAATTCAGTCTTCGAATACATCAATACTAAAACACTTTACATTGAAATATTTACTCAGTAATGCGAATGAATGTGTGCACCGTGGAGCTTGCTGACTTGGCAGTGAATGGTTGTTTGTCCTGCGGCATTGCCAATAAAATACAAATCCTTCGTTACTGTTTATGTGTGTGTTTGTTCTTTGAATACAAAAGAAGCCTTTGAAACGCGTACAGAAGATAGATGTAATACCACTCTCCCTTGCAGAGTCTTCGTGGCCTAGCCACAGAGAACGCACTAGTGGGACGTTCCCTAGCGACTACCTAACTTAGTGATAAAAGACCCATAGTCTCTGCGACGAAGAATGATGCGATACATATATATTTGTAGTGCACCTGG